AATGTGCTTGCTTTTCATTTCTTTCTTTGTGTCTGGCACACTGGCCTCACAGGCAGTGTCTTAAGCCATGCAGGGTCAGGGCAAACAGAGAACTGCATTCATGGACAGATCAAGTTTATGTGAGAATCTGCTCCTCCACTGCCCTCAATCTCCATATGAATTGTTAATAAAATCTCAGCCTGAAAGCTCATCACCCCAACAGTGGGGAAGTCATGCAGAGAATCCTCTAGTTCAGAAAAACAAGATTTCTTTATCTTTTTCATCCCTTGCCAGCATTCGTGGGAATTCTGCCATGTAACCTCCTCCTGAACCAACCTTCCCCCCTCCGACACCCCACCTCTCTCCACAAGCCTCTTGGTCCCACCTGATCATGGGGAAGGCGGGAGCTAAAAGACAAAAGAAGCGTTCTGACACCCACAGCAAACCTACCACATCAACTTTGCCTATGCAGTAATTTGCTGCTATAAAAACCTTCAGGCAAAAGGAAACATCAATGCTTAATTTTTTCCAGTTTGTGTCAAACAGCTGGAAAGACTTTCCCAGAGCTTTATGACACCACATGAACTGGAGAGCCACAGATATAATAAAAGGTCACATATAAAGCGAAGAACAGAGTCATACCCTAATTAACTTGATATCTCCATGCAAATACTGGACAGGAACAAGGCTCGATGTATGTTGCAGCCAATCTTGCGTGTATCTTGCTACAGGCTAGCTGGGCCTCCTGTTTCCTCTGCTTTTGCTCCTTGCAAACTGTTTTAATATCGAACGCTTTTCAGTGGGATGGGCTGATGAACGAAAACATGAATTTCCTGCTTGCCCTTTAAGGTGGGTTAAAGGGAGTGCTAGCAATCAATTACAGAACAAAAGAACAAAAAAAATGACTTAAGAACCTAAGGAGTAAATGTGTTACATTCTTTGCAGTCCATTTTTTTAAAACTGAGTGCTTCATTTTTATTCACTCTTATCATGAATAGTAAACAGTATCTATTTTATTAAAGAATGAAAGTTTACCTAGTAGCTCCTAAAAGAAATATATTGTTTTCTACTCAAAAGATCTTTAAATGCCCTTCACTTTCATTTCAACTTGATAATAATTTTACAAGTAATAAAAAAGTTTGAAATTTTATTCAAATTTGCCCCTCAGATTTTCACTTTGCTTTAATATACTTAGGTACATGTCAGAATAAAAAGTTATCTTTTCAACCCTAATGAACATTTTGTCCCTATTAAACTTTTGTTTCCTCATTTATTTTGGTCAATAAAACAACATTAACTTATAAACTCGTTGCACATAAATTGTTCCAGGATATCTTTAATTGTACTTTTCTGTTCTATAACTGTGTGTGTCCAAAAAATAAATATTATTAAAAAATAAATACCTCTAAAGTATACATAAATTAGTGATTTGATGAAATATAACACAGATTTCTATCACCATCTAGAAATGTCATTAGATAATATTTAAGAAGATAATAGTATACAAGAACACACATACACACAGTTTCTTAAAGCCAACAAAAGGAACACAAAATGACAGCTTGCCTACTCACATAATAAAGTCATATAAATGTACTATATCTCTCAATTTATTTGCAACAAAATCACTATTATAAGTAGCACATTCATTTGCTTTATATTTATGTATCATTTTAGTGTATAAAACATAGGAACCAATAATTCAAAGAATTCTCTCACCTCATATTTAAGCCACAGAAGTTTGATACATTTTTAAAACAAAACTAAATTTAGTTTTACATTAAATGTCCCAGTGCCTCAGTGAATTCTATGTAGATATTATAACTTTAGAAATACATTAAAGACACAATATAATTACAAATGCAAAGTAAAGTTTAATATTATCCTTTAGCATTGATGTAAATTATTATTACAATTAATAAGTATTATATTGTTTTTGGAAGTATAGAAATTCCAACTGTTTTTCACAATACACCTAAACTAAATTAATCTTTAAATATATAAAGTCAGTAACTCAATGAATATTAGACATAGTTGCAAAGTTATATACGTATGTGAAAAGAGTTATTTTAGGAAATGGAGAATGATGTAAAATATAAATTTCCCTGTTTTATAATTACTCAAGTTAATTTTATAGGAATGATTTTTTTTAGTATGGCTATGAGAAACTCAATAATTTGTATTCATAAGACTGTGTGTAACTGAATGATAACAGCTCAAATACTTAATGTGTTGGTTTACTTCCATTAATTGCCAACAGAATATTAGTATTTTAACACAAAATTTGTATTACCAAACCTCAATTTCTATTGTGATGGGTGTTTTTCTGAGAAGGAGGAGCTAATGGTTCCATCCCTTGCCTTTAAGAGTTTGCTTTTCAAAGTCCGTGTAGCAAAATGTTCGTGTACTTCTCCAGTGGGGCTCCTCATTCTTTTTCTAAGTGAAGTGCATGCGACTGGGAGGGTGGCCACAGAAGCAGGACCTGTTCTTGAGAACGAGTCTGGGGGTGGTAACCAGGTGAAGCAGTTAAGAACTCTACTCTGGACATGTGTATTGCCATTTGGAATACAGACGTCAGCGTGGTTCCAAATATGAGGTTTAACAAGGCTTTCACACACTCTGCAGATAAACCCAGAGACAAGTTGAAGCTTCCACATCGCATGGACTGAAGGTGTGTGTCCCTTCAAAATTTATAAAATAAAGTCTTAAGCCCCAATGTGGCTATTTTCAGTAATGGGACCTCTAAGGAAGTCATTAATGTTAAATGAGATCATGCAGGGGGCCCCAATTTGATAGGATTAGTGTCTTTATAAGAAGAGATACCAGAGGTCTTTGTGTCTGTCTCTCTGTCTGTCTGCTCTTTCCCCGCCTCTGTCTCTCCCCCTGCACATGTGCATAAACATTGAGGAAAGGCCAAGCGAGGGCACAGAGAGTAACTGATGTTTACAGACTGGGAAGACAGCAGTCACCAGAAACTAAATTTGCTATCACCTTGATCATAGGCTTTTAGCCTCTGCAGAGAAAATACATTTCTGTTGTTTAAGCCATCTGATCTATGGCATTTTGTCATAGCAGCCAAGTAGATTAGTGTACATATTAAAACCAGCAATAACACAGCATGCTGGAATAAATCCAGAACTGCATTTTAGAGATAGTTCTGCATACCTGTTCTCTCTTCCCTTCTTGTAGAGCTAGGTGAAATGGACAAGAATCGCAATTCGTATTCCTGCTTCTGGTGTAAGGTGTTAAGTCTACCAGCCAACGTGTGGGCAGCTTGTAAATCTGTCTTTAACAAGCATTATTGATTCAATACCTCAACTAGAAAGCATACTGTTGAATTTCTCATTGAACCATTTCCCTTCAAAATACCTATGTGAGAAAAAAAATCTATAGTATACTGAGGAAGAGCATGGATTTTAAAGTAAAAGCCTAGGTACAGATGTTCTTTGACTTCCTGTGTCCCTTGGCCAGACCAAACCTCAGTTTCCTGAGATGAAAAATGGGAGTAACCTCACTGGTATCAAAATGTTGTAAAGTGTAGGTGCTGCTGGTTATGTGGTACAAATCTTCACGACATGGTTATGATCATTATCGTCATCCCACTTTCCTAGGCATCTTACATTTCTTTCAGTTCAATTAAGGTGCTATATATGGATTCAGTTATTTTTTAAAAAATTTCAGCCATGTGCTCTGGCTGGTGTGGCTCAGTGGACTGAGCACCAGCCTGCGAATGGAAGGGTTGCTTGTTGGATTCCCAGTCAGGGCACATGCTTGGGTTCGGGCCCATCCCTAGGGGGCTGGCTCTTGAGTGGCAGCCATAAATTGATGTTTCTCTCCCTCCCTTCCCCTCTCAAAAAATAAATAAATAAAATCTTTCTTTAAAGTTCAGCTTTGTTAGCCTATTATTAGTGTATAACATTGTAAGATATTTAAAGTATATATTGTGATTTGATATACACCTACACTGTAGAAGGATTCCCCCAATCTAGTTAATCTATCACCTCACATATTTATTTATATCTGGGTTGTTGAGTGCATGTGAACATTTAAGTTCTACTTTTGTAGCTTATTTCAGTTATATAACACAGTGTTATCTACTGGAGTCACCATATTTTACATTAGCTCCTCAGACCCCACTCAACTTAGAGCTGGAAGTTTATGCCCTTCTACCAACCTGTCCTTATTTCCGAGGCCCCAGCCCCTGGCATCCCTTTTCTACTTTTTGTTTTAACGAGGCCTTTTTTCTTTTTGTAAGATTCCAACAATAGCAATACCATGCAGTATTTGTCTTTCTCTGTATGTTTTATCTCACATACTTTTTTCCAGTGTCATCGGAGTTGCGGCAAATGGCAGGATTTCCTTCTTTTTCATTGCTATATAATATCCTGAATTCTCTCTCTCTACATACATATATCAATTCATATGTAGGTGGACACTCAGGCTTTTCCCCTATCTTGGCTATTGTCAACAATGTTTCAATGAACATGGCAGTGCAGGTATGTCTTTGATATTCTGCTTCATTTCCTTTGGACATGTACCTGGGGGTGGCATTGTTGGATCATACAGTAGTTCTATTTTAATTTTTTGAGGAACCTCCATATTGTTTCCCATTGTGGCTATACCAATTAACATTCTCATGGAGTTAGACAGTATTACTGCTTCCCTAGAATCACCTTCATAGAGCGATTTCTTAATATAGTGCCTGAATATTTCTTCAAAATTCAGCATGAGAAAGTATTTTGTCCTGGTGCTGGATATTTCTGAGGTCTCTGTTCATTGTATGATCTTTTGGGAGAGACAGGACTGAGGCCTCCACTGACGTTACGAGATGTATGTTGTCACCACATACATCTGGCTTTAAGCAGCTGATGCTGCTGAATAACCACATGACTTTTATGATCGGCACACTCCCACTTTCATTCCCGTCACCCAGTCTTTTCAGTTTTTCATTTCTCTCTGCACTGTTTTTTGGGAATGTCCAGATTTGGGCAGAGAATTCACATATTTAGGAAGATGCATGTAGAAAGTCCAAAGCTGTGAAAATCGTGGGATTCTGGGACCAAATTGTGACATTCCTAAGAAAGCAAGACCATTTATTGGCTGTGTGACCTTGGACAAGTTGCTAATCCCTCTTCTTGGTGCCTCCACCTGTAAAATAGGTGTAATGTGAAAGGATTAGGCTGAGGTTTAAAGGAGGGACTGCTCACTTTCAGAAGAGTGTTGGAGAAAAGTCAGCTGCTCAATACGTGTTAGCTGCTATCAACACTGTTGTAAAACAGGCATCGTGCATGTGAAAATGTCCATCTTGAACAGAACAGAAAAATCTTGATTTATCATGATAGATATGAAGACCTGTATATGAAGTTTCCCCTCAAATACATTAAAATTTAATCGGTGAAATAAATCTACCTATTAGGGAACATTTTAAGGAAAAATAAAGAAGACTTTTGACAAATTAGTATATGGTTGATTTATAAATATACAGACAAGAGGGTGATGTTTAGAAGAGTTTAAGGGAGAGGTCTCTTCAGGGACGAGAATATGTTAGTGAGTTATTTCTCATCTTCTGATGAGGGAACAGCATAGTAGAAAACAATATGCTTCTTTCCCCTTATAAACAGAAGTTTAAGGAAAGTTAAGGATCTTTAAAAAAATTAGAAAACTACTATTTGAGCCATAAAAACTGGGCAGTTATCAAAATTTTCACAATATTTGTCAAAAACACCACAGCTGTAGGTTCTGTGTGGAATAATGTGAAGCAATTTCAATATGCTATGAAGTCATATACAGAAGATATTCTATTTCTGTCTTTTCCATCACCATACACTGCATTTAAGGTCATAGTGAAGATTTTAGGTGTGGTCTGCCCTCACTAATAATTTAAATATAGCCCTTTATTCTAACTTAAATAAGAAAATATGTTACATGTGAAATTTATAAAATGTCAAACAAAACTTAAAATCTTATTTTATTTATATTCCTGCTTCTACAGTACATAACATTGAAGTGAGTTATTTGAAATGAAACTCTAGGAGCTAATTGGATTTTCAAATGATACAAATATTATAAGGAAAAGTGAGTTATGGTTCTTCTAAATTGGAGCTGCTGAACATGGACCAAAGCAATGAAAACCATGCTAACTCAATATAAGTATACCTCCACAATTGTTTGTCATTGCATAATGTATATACTTGCCATAGTTCTACAAAAAAATGTGGTCTCTAATTTGCAACATTAATGTTGCTGTGGTTTTATTCAACAATTGATCACTTTGCAAAAATCAATGCATCTATCAAGAGGATCAAAATATTAGCTTAGTTATATACAACGTCAAACTCTATATACTGCTTTGGAGGAGATATGTCCTATGACATAATTGCTGCTATATCCCCAAGCTGGACCTGGGCTACAAGTGGGAGATTGCTTACATCAACCCCCCCATTAGGGACTGCCTGAATGAAGTCAAAGTTCATTCTGACACAAACCATCACCCCTCTCCTGCCTCCTGCTGTGTGCTGCTCTCTGAAACGGCCCATTGTCCTGACCTGATCAAGCATGTAAAGTAATTTCCTGTACCTGGTAGCATTCACATACAAGCACCCATGACTATGCCCCACTTTGCCATCTATATAATTCCTTGGCACCTGTCAAGTGGCGCAGGGATTCATTTTATCTTCTGTAAGTTTACCTTAATGAACTCTACTAATTACCAGACTTGGATGGCCACCCTCTTTCTTCAGTCTTTCCCTGCGTTCCACTTACAAGAGAAGATTTACCATTCTGGGACCTTTCCCTGGGCCTGCGTGTCCTAACAGCTGGATAAAACCCAGCAGCAGGTGAGAAATAGTTAAAACACAAAGATTTTCCCTAAACTTCAAAACTCATTTTTCACAAGAGATTTTTTTTCTTGTTTTGGAAAATAAACACCTCTTGAGTTATTTTAGAAATATTTTGAACGTGGCTGTTTCCAATGTGTATTTGCCAAGAACTCTGCTCTTTTATTTTTCAGTATGCCAACGGTTGAAGAACTTAGTCACGTACTTATTGCTTATTCAGCTTTATTTAACTCTGGAGATGTTTGTTCTCCAAGGAGTCCCCAGGCCTTTGGACCTTGTGCACTGTGTCAAGAATAAGTGAGAATCAAGTTGCAACAGGCCCAGACGCAGAGCCCAGACAGCGCTATTTGATTCTATGTTTGACAAAACACACTCTCTTACACTCAATTCTCAACTACAAGTCAAGCTCTAAATATATAAAAAAATTCTTTTGTCAAAAGTACAGTAAAATTTATAGATTATAGGAGGGAACAACATGGTTTATAGATAGCAATGACAAAAATATCACTATTTTTGTGAAATATGAAATTGGTAAAATGTGTATAATTATGTAACTCAACAGCATATGTGAAATATAGCATAAATATAAGAAAACCAGTTGATGTTGACTTTAAGAAATAAAAAGACATATGAATTTCATACAAAGGGTAGTATAAATGATGCCTAATTTAGTAAGAAAAATTTAACAAGTAAAACATATCTAACATCATTATAAAAATAATCACAGCTGATGTTGAACACAGCTAATATTCTGAGAACTGTTGATTTTGTAAACACGATATTGATTCAACTTTGTAATGGTTGTTTCTTACATGGATATCATGTCGTGTGCAAGGTAAATTATTTACTTACAGTAAAAGATAAGACACAAGATCTTTGCCTCAGATAATGAGAGCTCTACTATTTCCTTCATATTTAGAAGATATGAAAAGTGAGGCTTGCAGCAATTAAATGACTTGTCAAATGTCACACAGCAAGAGGTAGAAAGGGGACACTAACTTATTGTGCCCAACCCCAACCCTGTCTTTTCATAAACCTGATAGAGCAAAGAGGTAAGCATTATCAATTCAAACTCCTTTGCTTTCTTATAACAAGATCATGCTAATTCATTCATTTTCCTGTGTTCCCCACTCATCCCTGTGTGTGTGCTGTGCACAGTATTTTCTTTAACATAAAAATTTGGGAGTTTGGCCCTGGCTGGCATAGCTTAGTGGATTGAGCCGGGCTGCGAACCAAAGTGTCACAGGTTCGATTCCCAGTCAGGGCACATGCCTGGGTTGCAGGCCACAGCCCCCAGCAACCTCACATTGATGTTTCTCTCTCTCTCTCCCTCCCTTCCCTTCCCTCTCTAAAAAATAAAATAAATAAAATCTTAAAAAAAATTTGGGAATTTGGTAAGTGTGGAAAATTACTTGGAATAAAAACATTTTCTTTGTATTTAAGCATGATGATTCCTATGCCTACCTTTACATACTCCTTGGCTTCTTTTACATGGTTTATTAAGACCATGAATCTTAAAAATAGTGTGATTTTTATAAAATGAAAGGTAAAGACCATTTAACAAGAAAAAGAAACAATTTGGAATCTTTTTTTTTTCAGCATAATATTTTTGTTTAAGGTAATCTCTCATTTTAATTAAAATACCTAATTTTAGCTAATAAAATGAAGGGTAGACCATTTAACAAGAAAAAGCAACAAATTAGAATCTTTTTTTTCAGCATAATATTTTTGTTTAAGGTAATCTCTCATTTTAATTAAAATACCTAATGTCAGCTAATTTTGACAAAATCTGTTCTAAAATGCCTTTTAACATGAAGCATTTATTACCATGCTAGAACACACTGAAATTTAAGGATCTCAATAACAGGGCCACTGGGAGCTGTGGTACCCTGTGGTGGCATAGCAAGAACATCTCAGAGTGGCTGTGGGTTCCTTAGAAATATAAAGAGCCATAAGCTGCACAGGTCACTGGAGTCAGAATTGGTGTTTTTCTCTAAGAATGTTAAATACAAAATTTTTGCCATAATCTATGACTCAAAGCCAACTGAGATATTTTTTCCAAAGTGAAACTGAAGTTCAGTGTTGTTTGTAAACTTCAAAAATGTGCTTGCTAAGGGTTTGTAGAACAGTTTCTTGGAAGATTACCACTTGCAAAAAGTAAGAAAGATTTGTATGCACAAAATGAGCTGAGAGCCAGTTGATTCAGAAAAAAAAAACATTTTCATAGGTATATGAAACCAGTGATCTATTGGTTTCATTAGCACACATTCCTTTTTTTCTCCTGATATTTCCCATTTACTAATATTCAGGGAAATATTGCATTTTATTCAATTTGCTATTTATCCTGTGCTTCCTAACAATTATTTATGAAATATTTGTTGTTCTACTTGTACTGTGCCATATATATGTATATGTATTTATATATACATAATTTATTTTGTTACTTATATAATTTTTACTGAAATACTTGTTTTATCTTGTTTACTCAATGGAAATACATTACATATTACTACCTACTTTTTGTAATACTAATTATGACATATAATATCAGTATTTGTCTTTGTGGCTATATCTACCAAATTTTTAGTAGTCTTTGTTACTGGCTGTATGATAATTAGTGATTCTAGCATTTTTAAAAAGCTGTGACATACTGTACTTTATTTAGGGTTGGTAAAATATTACCACATGTCCAGAACTTCTTAATTCCTACTAGAGTCACTTGTACAATTTCTGTATTTCCACAAACTGTCATCTCACCACAACCAATAAACCATTAAACTACTTGAAAAATACATTCCATAGATAATCTTTAGAAAATTCTCATATAACATTCAGAGAGACTGAATGCACCAGCATTTTTTTTATTCTGACATTTAAATAAATTTTTAAATATGACTTCTCAGTAGGCATTTTTCTACTTTAAATCTGATCCTTAACATTGGGGGTTCACAAATTATCAAAAAACAACTGGAATACTTCTCTCTGCTATAATGTTTCGAACTTGTATGCACAAAAGGTAACATTGCTATAAACTTGTGCTGTTCAAAGTAGTAGTCATTAGCCACATACAGCTAGTGAAGATGTGACATTAATTCTAGGAACATATTATTCTTTAGGAAAATTAATTCAAGGGTCTAAAGATACATCACTCTTCTTTTTGCATTTTATATTATATTATCTTTAAGGAAAAGAGGTCTGGACTCTTCTCAGGAAAAGAAAAACATTTATGGACATGAATAGAACATTACACTCAGTGTCTGGGTTCCGGAGACCTTCCGCAGCCAAACAGCATAATAAATTAAGGACTCCAGT